ACTGAACGCATCCGACGCAATTATCACAAGGCCCATGCTCCCGGTAGAATAGGCCTTACTCAGCGTTTAATGTGGGGCTCGTTCTTGACACTCGCAGGCATCAAAAGATCCACACCCTCGCACACCTGCATGACCTTCAGTGTTCTGTGGCCGCTAGGGCAGTCCCTGCGGGGTTGGCCGCTCCCTTCAGGGGAGCTCACTGTCGGCCTCCAGCAGGCCGGAACCCTCCAACAGGTCGGCGCCCTCCGACAGGCCGGATCCTTCCTCCGGCAGCAGGTCAAAGTCGGGCGCCTCCGGCTCGAAGGCGGGGCTCTCGGCCTCCTGCGTGGTGAGCAGGAGCTCGTCACCGGCTGCCTCCGGCGCCGGGGCAGCCTTGATCTCCTCGTTCAGTAGAACCGTGCCAGAGGATGGCAACACCTCATTTCCTAGGATCGCATCTAGCATTTGGCCGACCTCAGAGATCAGATCCTGATTAGAGGTGGTCTCTGGGATATCTTCCCGAGCATCTGAAATTACTTCTTGATCAGAAGTGGTCTCTGAGATCGCTTTCTGGGCAGGAATGGTTTCTGAGATTTCTTCCTCTTCAGGGCTGGTCTCAGAGATTGCTTCATGCGCCGGAGCGCTTTCTGAGGCTACTTCCTGATCAGAAGTGTCCTTAGGGGTCAATTTCGGAATGGAAGCGCTCTCTGGAGTCAATTCCAGAGCAGGGGCATTCTCTGGTGTCAATTCCTTAAGAGAAGAGTTCTCCAGGCCCAACTCCTGAGTGGGAGCAGTCTCTAATATTACCTCCGGAGCAAGAGCATTCGCTGAGATCATCTCCAGGACTGGAACGGTCTCCGAAATCATCTCCTGAACTGAAATGCCATTCGACGCCGCCTTAGAAGGGATACCGTTCGGAATCTGCTCTTGGGCAGTAGCCATCTCCATAATAACCTCCTGAATCACGTCTTGAGCTGATGCTTCAATCTCAGCCGCCACCTCTTGGACCACTGCAGCATCCGCTGCATCCTCTTCAGCTTGGCTTATTTCCGAGATCACTTCTGGGGTCATATGCGGAGTTTGCACGTCGTTGTTCGAGAGAATTTTCGTGGCCGGTGTGTCCTCGGTGTTTTGGGTCGATTTGAGCTCAGATAGTACCTCTTGGATCACCTCCTGAGCTGAAGCAGCAATTTCCGAAATCTCCCTCCGGACTGGACCGGGAATATCTGCAATGACATCCTGAACTGTCCCCTGGACTGGGCTGCCGGCAGTCTGGGCTGCTTCCTCGGGTGAGCTGGTGACCTCCCGGGTGGTCTCATCTGCTGAAGCGGTGAGCTTCTGAGCCTTCTTCTCGGCTGAGATCGTGGGGTCCGAGATGACCTTCTGGACCAGGCTGGGCTCTGTGATCACTTCCTCGAGCTCCTCCGCCACCGGGATAACCGAGTCGGTGGGCTCCAGGGTGTCGATACCGCAGTCGTCGGCTGTGGCTCGGCTGCCGTGGTCTGCTCCACCGGCTGTGACTCGGCTGCTGGAGCCCGCTCCACTGGCTGCAGCTCGACTACCAGGGCTTGCTCCGCCGCCGGCTGTGACTCGACTGCCGGGGCCTCCTCCACCGGCTGGAGCTCGACCACCCGGGACTGCTCCGCCTGCTGTGGCTCGACTGCCGGGGCCTGCTCCGCCAGCTGTGACCCTCGGCTGCCTGGGCCTGCTCTGCCGGCGACTGTAGCTCGGCTACCAGGTCCTGCTCCTCCGGCTGTGATTCGGCTGCTGGGGCCTGCTCTGCCGCTGTGACTCGACTGCCGGGGGCTGCTCAGCCGGCTGTGACTCGGCTGCCGGGGCCTGCTCCAACGGCTGTGACTCGGCTGCCGGGGGCTGCTCAGCCGGCTGTGACTCGACTTCTGGGCCTTCTCCGCCGGCTCTGCGACTCTCTTCCGGGGCCTGCTCCTTTTACTTGACCCGGCTGCTGGGCCTGCTCCACCCCTGTGACTCACTGCTGGGGCCTGCTCTCCCCCTGTGACTCGACTGCCTGGACCTGCTCCACCAGCTGTGACTCGCTGCCGGGGCCTGCTCCGCCGGCTGTGACTCGCTGCCGGGCCTGCTCCACCGGCTTGACTCGGCTGCCGGGGCCTGCTCCGCCGCTGTGACTCGACTGCCGGGACCTGCTCCACCGGCTGTGACTCGCGCTGCCGGGGCCTCTCCGCCGGCTTGACTCGACTGCCGGGTCTGCACTGCCGCTGGATCGACGCTATTCAGCGGACACACGCGCTGGGGCAGCACACGCCATCAGTGTAGACGGGTTTGCAGCCCCGGCGGTTGCTCACTCTCGCGCCGGTCCCAGTCGCATTCGGCAGACACCGGCTGCAACGACAGGGGACATGTCAGCAGGGAACGCCTCAGGGAACACGCTGAGTAGATACCAGCTGCAACGACTGAGACATGTCAGCAGGGATCGCCTCAGGGACACACTGAGTAGATACCAGCGGTAACGACAGGGGCATGTCAGCAGGGAACGCCTCAGGGAACACGCTGATAGATACCAGCGGTAACGACAGGTAGCTTGTCAGCAGGAAATGCTCTCGGTGGACGTCGGCTGCGACGGCAGAAGGCCTGCGGCAGGGAATAGACAACAGGGCGTGTCAATAGAGAATTTGCCCGGCAGCACCGCCAAGGTCGACGGTCGGGTCAGAGGGAAACCAACAACCGGAAGCGTGTAAGCAGGAACATGCCCAGCAGACACCGCCTGGATTGACAGCAGTGTCAATTTCGAATGAACGACAGGGGCGCGCCAACAGTGGACACACCCGTCCCGGTGTAGCAGCAGGCTGTACGCCAAAAGCCGGGTATAGGCTCCTTTTCAGTTGAGGTCGGGGGCTCCAGCAACGCCAACAAAAGATCCATCCTCCTACTCTAGGAGAAAACTATCCTAGGTCTGAGAAGCACAATTAACTGCTCAGCTCCCCCTAAAACTAATTTTGTGAACTACGCCCTGGCTTAAAAGTACGGGCACAGGCACAGGTATCTGTGATTACACGGCAGATGCGGGTGATCAATACGATGTCAGCAGATTGGGACGGCGCCAGGACACTGAGTGCCCACTCAAGCAAGGTGTGCATGCTCGACTGCCCACGCATCCTCCAACGCAAGTTCGGAACGCGCCGGCAGTCATCTTGGTGGCCGACTCCCGCCACTGGACTTATCGCCTCACACCGTTGAGCAACGCCTAAGCCACCCGTGAGCTCGGTGACCCAACCTGTCAGCTACGAGTGGTGGGGTTACCCAATGATCAGCCCCCGTGCCATGAGCATGCTGGCAATCGCAGCGTTGCAATACCCGTAGGATGAGAGAAGCGGTCTCATGGAGACGAACAGTTAGGAAATATTCGTAGGAGTTTCTCGGGAAAGGATGCTTATGGCCCTGCCACACTCGCATTAGGGCGTACAACAATGCAATTGCTCATGAAGGTTAGTGACTGCTTTCACCTGCGCACTGCAGGATTAGAAAACACCCTAAACATGGCTGTTCAGCTTTTACAACGAGAACTTGCACTGATACCATGCATGAACCTGCCGGGACATCGCAGGCGCGAAAAACGCAAGTGTATGGACAGCTTTGGCGAAATCGTTTGTCGCGAAGAATTTCCCGGAATCAATGCCAACACGGAATGAGACTATCAGCAGCACATAGACGTACAATTAAGGACAAACCTTTGGGAGAAAACAAAGAGTAAACACCCAACCAACGCAGACAAAATGCCAACCAGAAGGCCCGAAACACAACAGCCGGCTTTCAGTGTGCAGCTGGGGCAACATAACTATTACAGGAAGACGTCGCAGGCTGCCATTCAGAATTATTTGACGTCATCTGTTTGTGAAAATCCCGTGACGGTGCAAATCTCTACCGAAATCCACTTTCTGGTGCGTTATACCACCGTTTGTAATGTTGGCCTCACAAAAACTTGCAAGGAAGTGTGTAACTGATTCAACAACAGATCGGCCTTTTAACATCTCATACATAAAGTGACAACCGACAACAACGCACTGACTTTTCCGTAGCGAATTCAACGAAAGGAAGGCGGACCAAGAATACTAACTTCCGGGATATATTGTGCACGGATGGCGGTTCCGTGAGGCCCACGCGCCCACACCGACGGCCGCGGCGCGGGATTGCCGACAGTGGACGGGCCACTGCTGCAACGCGCGGCTCCGCGGCTCGCCCCCGGAAAGTGCGGCGCCACGGAAAGTGGCGTCCTTCGCCGGCGTGGAGGCCGGCGATGTCGTCCGAGTGTGGCCGCCAGCCCGTCGCCATACCGGGCGGCCGGCGACACAAAAGTGAACACGCAAGCGGGGCGCGACACGCGCTCCGTATATAGCCGCCGTGGACAGACGGCCGCTGCAAGGGCTGGCGGCCGGGCTGGCCCGGGCGGCAGGCCACGCCGCCGCGGACTTCCAGCAGCGTGTCATGGCCCGTCGAGCGTGCTTTTGCAGCGCCGCCGACTGCCAAGGGAGGTGACGCAGATGGGCCGGTGTCCCATCTCTCACAATATTGCTTGCGAGAACTCCGATAGCCAGAAACACAACAATGGAAAAGGCGGAAGGGCAGCGACACTTTCCTTGAAGACAAGCTATTCTAGCTTTGCATCATTGCCATCGCACGCTATTCGTGAGCGAACTGATGGAATATCCTGCAACGACGCCTCTAGCGGTCCATCGGCCCATCTCTTACCTAATATTTGCGTAATGCACCATGCCTACTGTTTTTTCTGATGACTTCATACCGACCTTTCCTTCCATGAGCTTCCGATGTATTGTTTGGTATCTTGGACGCTGACCTTGGGACGTGAAATGTTGTCGCGACGTGTGTGGAATTTCGGTGCAATGGATGCTAACATGCAGCCTACTAATGGTGTGTAGACGGCAATGACCTTAAATTTGCATGCCCCTATGCTTCTGAAAGACGACTCATCTCTGGTTGAGGAGAGTAGAGCTTTCCGAGTGGTATACCAATTTGACTGCTCTGCCGGCTAACCATTCACAGCACGCTGCCAGCAATCCACGCTCATCCCGCCAATGTTGTGCCCAGTCAACGACAGAATATAGTGGTGAAAGTTTAAAGTGCCGCAATGCTCGGCACGGCCAATCTTACCCTCTGACGTCACCTCACCTTCAGGGTGGCCGCTGCCACCAGCCGTACACCATACCAGTCAAGGGCAAATAGCGCGCACTTAAAGCGATTCGAGCCCACCGGTCGGAAGGCAGGTTACCTGACCAACTGAGCTATTGGGACGGACGGAGGTCTTAAAGACCGTTCCAGGCGACCAGTTAGGCGCAGCTTCTATGACAGGTCACTCACAACCGCTGGTGGATCCCGGGGGAGGGGGGGGGGGGGAGGGCCATGTTCGCCCAAGATAAGTAACAACGATATAGCTTACATTCTGTTGGTCGGGACTCGAGGTTTGGCCCGTCCCAAGATCCGACTATGGATACGCCTCTGCCCACAATAACCCTTCAAGCCGCCCAAGGAGCTAAGCAACATTGTATGCAAGCAAGGTACGTTTGCAACGGCAAACCGCGACGGACCACGGTATCCTATGTAGGAAAACAAGGAGGGATCGGGGAGGCTAAGAGTGTTAACAAGCCACGCAAAAACTGACATGGGCCAGACAGAACTTTAATGCCAGTTGTGACAAAGGAACCAGCATATGCACGTCGAATATCTGCAAGATTCCAACGACACACAGCTTCATAGTTCCGTGAATCATCTGCTTAGATATGCAACTCACAATGCACTCGTCTGGCGTGAAGCACTTGCAGAAGTGGCAGGGATCACCCTTCACCGGTCCCGTTTCGAAGCAGATATCTGGAAGCATCAAAAGCAGCCATTGCATAGCATACTTTCAACTCACGTAGTGTTTCGCTAGTCCGCGCCATTCATCCCGCTCGATTAAAACAATAATGTTACTTTGCAACTCAGTTGCCTCACACTGGTTCAAGAGCATACAGTCTCCAGTTTAGCAGGTACAAGTCTCCATTACTAAGGCACTCCCCATGACAAACAGTACTGAAATTAAACTGACAACACCACGCTAATTTTTCTAGGGTGATGCTGACTGACACTGTACGTGCATAATGAAGACAACCCCGCGCAAATGGCCATTGCTGCATTCTACATGAAATGGCCATCAAGCACACACGATAGCACACGTTATTTTGCAGCTACAGCATTTAACAAAGGTGTGACAAATGAATTTGACAGATTTCAGAGGCATGTCAATGATAACACATAATATGCATGCAGCAGTCTTATATATATATATATATATATATATATATATATATATATATATATATATATATATATATATATAGAATGCTGCAACGCCTCTAACGAACGTACTTCAGTCAGCGAATGAGCTAGCTGCTGTTCTTTGCAATTATCTGGTAACGAATGGGAGGGCTCAAACAGACTCAAACGGCGGCACAGACATGTTCTGTTCTGTTCATACCCCGAACCCTCCACCTTGCGTAATGCAGGGCATCTCGTCAAGTTACCTTTCGTATCAAGCTTGGCCTTGAAGATGGTCTCGATATCTCCCACGGGCAGCGAGAGCGCCAGCGAGGCGGTGGTCAACAGGAGCAGGCCGCGCATCGTGTTCAGCGCTGTCTGTCCGACCGCAAACTGCACTGCCGGGGCGACCCGCCGGCCGCGTGTCTTATACCAGCCGCTAATGGCGTCACCGGCCCCGGGCGGCCGTACTGCGCCGATTCGAGCAGCGATAGCTGACATCGTCGCCCACGAGGATGACTAGCGGCCACACTCAACCTGGCCCAGCGTGTGTCCACGACGTTTCGTCATCTCGTCTGTAGGAGCCTACGACTTAACCAGCTTAACAGAAGGTAAGGAGGAGAAGGAGGAGGAAAGTAGGAGGAGAAGGAGGAGGGACGACAAGGTGGATGTGGAGGAAGAGGAAGGGAGAAGAAAGAGGGCGAAGAGGAGGAGGCGAAGGGGAAGGGGAAGAGGAGGAGAAAGAGGGTCATTGTCTGTAGGCCAGGCTGCCCGTGATGACGTCACGGATGACGTGGCCGGGGAACGGGAAAGAGCATCGCGCCTAACAGGTTGAGCACAGGGCTTTTCTGGGTTCGCCGCAGAGCATCTTGACATGAAGTGGCAGGGAACACTCGCCTCACCTGATGGTGAGGCGAGTGTTCCCTGACATTGATGCCATAGCGGTATGATGTAGGGTGTTACACATGATGCATATGGAGGACACTTCGAAGAAATGTCAGATAATTAAGTATTCAGTAGGTAGTCGGAATGGTCGACAGCACCTTTGTTAACGACACTCATCTTCCACAAACCAAATTTTGAACGCTGGCTGGACGTGAGGAACAATTAGAGATGAGTGCTCATTGCAATTCGGAATTGCAACCATGTAATGGCTTTATTCTGACCTGAGCTTGGATTCGAGACCCAAATTAGTTTAATTTGTATCGACATCTAGAAAATCAGCCGCATTTTAACGTCCCACTCTTCTAAACCAATTTGTTTGATTTCTGGCGAACTGCTCTCACATTTTATATTTACACCCCTGCTGAGCCATGTCCTCCCGATTGAAAATGGTACTGAGGCATTCGTGTTGGTACACATATCTACGCGTGACAGGCCGCTTTGTTCGAGGAAACTTATCTGAGATTGATGAGGCCTGCTTGTGGCATGTAGGCCCTTGAATTTTGGTCCGCGCTCTCCCGGTTTAAATGCTGTTTTACTTAAGCTCCCTTCTTTAATCAACTATACGTTGGTTGACCACAGCAGTGACCACAACAGTTGAGTTAGTCCGGAACCCACAGCAGTAGGGTCCAGCGGTAACTAATGCAGTGTTATAGAGCGCGTAGGACAGGCGACACTGGTGCAACACAGACATGTGCGTGCTGTATCGAGTTTATTTGAAGGAAGGTGGAGCCTACAGCGCATTCCATCGCATTTAATCACATTCTCAAATAACGCCATGCAGGATTCGACATCAACTTCAACAACATCAACATCAACATCAACAACATCAACAGCATTGGGATCCAAATTTCTGGGATTCATATTCTCATTTTCAGACTTTCAGGTATTGTAGGATTCGAATCTACTCGAATCCTTCGACTCAGAATCCTCAGTCCAGTGGCAATGCCCCAAGCCATGCACGCGGTGCCGAATCCAGCTTATGGCGCTTGCACTTCACTGTCAAGGATTTTTTAGCACCCATGGCTGTGATGTGTATGGTAGGAGAAGCGTGGGCACAAGTGGCTCACCATGGATTACCACCTATTTGTGTGACAGTTTGCGTGGCCCACGAGGGTTGCCAGCTTTTCGTGGCTGCTTAGCAGTCGCCCTACGGCTGTTTTCCCTTCCGCCTTACTATAGAGGGGGTGAGGGCAGGGGGAGGGAACTCAACAGCTTCTTTAATGTTTCGGAAACTAAACGGGATAGAGCCACGCGGCAACAGCATTGGAAAGCTCCTTTTAGAATGCATCAGTTAGGTGTCAGTGATCAGCGGCGAATGTTACGTTTGGCAGGTCAAAGTAAGTCATAGGCTAAATCAACACTTGATAGATCTACCGTATTATCCCGTAAGTAAGCGTGCTGCGACAACGCAAACGACGGTGTTGAATAGCTCTTAGAAAACTCTATCACATGAGCACGGGTGAACACAGACTTACCTAATCTACAATATGTCATGTCAGGTGAAATGGAAGCCCTTGCGATTACATCACGAGCTAAGCAGCCATGCAAATGGAGCTAACAGCGTTAGAGAGGCCTTCCAAAGCTGCAAGCTGCTATCATTGCTGTTAAAATTGTATCACCTTTAAAACGTCAAATGTGGTCACAAAGGTCAAAATATGACCTAACTTGACCTTTGCTGACCTAACCTTGAAAAAACAGCCGGGGTGATCGTAATGCAATTAACGGTAATGCAACTGAGTAAAATAGCCAAAAAACCTCCTGGGAGTACATTTCCCGCGAGATATAAGCACTACGTGTTATTTGTGTGCAAAATGTCACCAAGGTGACCTCGAGATAAAGAACATGCATGATGAGACATGAAATTTTGAAGCATCAAATTTTCATACGTGAAGAAATAACGTAAACTTTTTTCTTTTTCATTTGCTGCTCAAAATATAAGCACCACGCTCACAGCCGTTCAGGAGTTGCTCGAAAAAACCCGTCGAAGAATTTCCGAGCCCCTCCCCTCTCCGAAGTAGGGAGATCTCTATTGGGATTATGACAGTGTATTGCAAAAATATACTTAACAGGGTTCAGGGCCCGATCTCTTTTTGTGAAGCTTTTTGTGTAGGACTTGGCAAAAGCCCTACACAATCATCAAACCTCCCAGAGAACCGCCCAGACAGCGCCATTGAGCCGTTTCGCGATGTAATACGTGCCGAGAAGTTAGCCTGGCATTTTTGATAGTCTAGGGGTCTCTTTATCGCTCATTTCCTCCACACACACTATTGGCTGCTTGGGATGCCTCTATTTATAGCCTATTCCGAATCAAGTTATGACAACCAGCAAATACACTATCTAAAGGCCCAACGTCTTAGTCCTGCTCTTTGCCACATGAACTGGATTGTTTGGATCATGAGAAGTGAACTACCATGCTCATTCGAAGTTTCACAAATGTGTCCGATAATCCGTATGAATGACTCTCAGCAGTGTCAGGCGGCATCTTTCCGATCTAGTCTGGTGCAATGGCAGGAATACCGTTCTTCGAGCCAACTCACCACAAATCCCGGCTTATCGCTCGATGACAGCTGCCGCGTTGACATCGTAACTCGATGGTACATGGTGACGTGGCCTGAAGCTCATGAACAGGTCGCCACGAGTCTGGCGAAAAGTGGCATTGCAGTCAGAGGTGAGTGTGATGTTGAAATGCGTTGTGGAAACTCTGAACATTACATAACCGAGTCTCCACCCGGTCATGCCGAGGCCATACTGAGCTGAACACAGTTTGGTCGTATTCCGCTTTAGCCAGAGCGCAGAACATTGGTGCCTTTCCATGCCAGTTTGATAGTATGTCGTCATGGCATGCCTTGCGCTTGATGTGTTATCATATGATAGCATCCGGTATCCCAGCGCGGTCTGACAGACTTCATTACCCTGGGATGGCTCCAGGCGCAGTTTGTGTGGGACACGTCTAATGTCAAGTCGAGGTATGCTCAGCGACGAGCTGTGAAAGATTTCTTCCTGCTAACGAAGACATTGCTTGACTGACGTGAGTTCTCATGTCAAAGGTGCCATAAGTGACCATTGTCTCGCATGCTTTGCATCTGTCACATACTTTGAGTTCATATAGATAGATTTGGAGGACTTCAAAGTAGGATAATGATACCATGGGTGAATAGGTTGCTAAGATTTATTGACAACTGAGCGGACAATCCAGATCTGTAACGGCTTCAGTTGTTGCGCATCCTGCACCGCCAGTAGGTCCACCTGGAGCACCTCTTCTTGTCATGATTTGACGGATTTGGAATCAATGATGAATACCGCTGTCACTGATTGTGCTTTGCCATTCAGTTGGCAGTTGAATACCACCACAGTTACGATTTTATGACAAATACACTTGCCTCTGCGAAGAAAAAAACGCAGGTGAGACAGTAGTAATAGCCTTATTCTTCGGAAAAAGGAAAATGCAGATATAGTTGCGTTGATATTTCGGCAACATGCCTTTGACGAAACAATAGTAAAAGTGGCATGTTGTCGAAAAAGGCACGCTGTGAAGCCCAAGTGGCATGTTTCGATAAAGGCATGCGGCCGAAATATGAACTCAACTATATCTCCACTTTCTTGTTTTTCCCCGAAAAAGAAGGCTATTACTGCCGTCTAATCTATGTCAATAACGTTCCACGCTAATGCGCTGAACAACTTACGTAAGAAGAAAACGGGTTAGCTTTCATCTGGGCCACAACGCGCTTCAAAATGCTGGCACATACCGCAGTCAATCCTCTTTATCCCAATCCAGATGTCATCATGTGCTTAACTTGCCAAACGTTTGCAAGTCTGGCCTACCATATGAGGGAGGTGGCGCGACAAGAACATTAGGCAGCTACATGATAGCCTGTGGTACAGAATAAACATGTAACTAGTAATGACAAGCCTGGGTACCTCGTGCACCGTTATGTGAAGGCCCTGTTCCACATTTGTATGAATATTTCCACTGAGGCAGTCTTTTAAGATCATTTTCTGCACTGCAAAGTTATGCCCTTTGTGAGAATTCAAACTCTCTTGTGTTTTAACAATGCGCTCGCGAAGTAGTGCAGACCAATCCGCGCCGCCGGTTTAAAAATGACGGCGCGAATCAGTCTGCACAAGTTTACCCCGAGATATTTGATGCCACAGAGATGTCCTGCGAATTCTGCGTTCCCTATGGCCATGCTGTGTTTAAAGGAAGTGCTCCACCTTGGTATGGGGTTTTAACTGAAATAACCATCTTGAAGATCATTCAGCGCAGTCCACAGCCCTGCCCTTCTTAAGATATAAGCGCTTCTAGTTTTTTAGGTTCACGCCCGCGAAGATGAGCAGACTTTTTCTGGGGGACTATTTCAAGATCACCACGGCAGCCATGACGCCATGATAACGTCATTCAAATGCTGTCATTTCATTGGTCATGCGACGATCAAGGCCAATAAAATGTAA